AATATATATGTGCCTACAAAAATTAAAAAGAAAGATGCACCCGAAAACCGCGAGAGACAAAATATTAGCAAACTGAAAGTTATAAAAACGAGACTTATAATATTATTTAATTATGTAACCCGCCCAATTAATTTTTGCCAATTTATATCTATTTAAATCATTATTTATTAAACTTATTTCTTTTTTGAGAGTGTCTTGTGATTGTTTATTAACAAAGCTTAGTCTAACATTTGTTTTTGACTTGATCTCCCAGTAAACGGGTATGTGGGTATAGTTACTTTAACATTTCTATTAGATTTGTTTAATCTCCATGCTTTGTTAGTGTAATTTTACACTCACTAAACTTGCTAAAACTCTTTTATTCCCTCTCTCTCTCTCGCTCTATATTACAACTGTAATAGCACTCTCTTTTGGTGTGCTATTCTCTTATTTTCTCTCCCTCTCTCTTTTGCTTGCTTTACATTGTTACTGTTCGTGCGTAAAGTTGTCAGTGTCCCACAAGCAACGCTCAGTCGATAGAAGACTTACTCTCTCGTGCTCTCTTGCATTTAAATTAATACGCGATCTTGCGCTCTTATTTTTTTCGTGTTGTGTGCCTTTGTGGTTTTGGAATTTGATCCCAGTGCCAAATTTACTTAAGGTATTTTTCATATATTAAATACCCTTTTATTTTCTGCTGTCTCTGCGAATCGATGATGCTCGTTAAATGCGTTGGATTTATTTAATTGTTGAGATGATTGGCTTTATGAAGCAGACTCGAGACAGCCTTTTGAATTTCTCCTGTGCTTAACAGCTTAATGAGGGGTTCAATTCCGTTTTTTCTTACTAACTGAGCCGCCTAAACGCAAAAAAGCCAGCTTAGCGGCAGTTAGTACGATCATGGTATCCACCCCAAATCCGAACTTGGTAGCTGCAGCAGTTTCTGTTGACACAGGGGTAAGTGAACCAACTGTGAATATGGATACAGCTGACTCCGATGGAGTCAATGTTTCTAGAAGTCTGGTGGTAAAAAAGTCTTCAAAAGTCTTCAAAGTCCGGCTACGGTGCCGACCGTACCAATAGGTACAGAAGGTACCGTTTCTGTCAGAAACGTCAGAAACTGTCAGTTGTTCCACATAGGAACCAATTATTTGTTTCTAGATTCACCCCAGATACTACATCTGAGGATGTTTTCGAATTTATACGTGAAAAATTCCTATCCGAGAATATTTCAGTTGAACAATATCGATTTTCATACGTCCGTAGTAAACCGTCTTTTAAAATATTTGCTCCGCCTGATGTGTTTAAGGTAATACTTTCTAAAAGCTTTTGGCTTAATGATAATTTGGTAATAAAAGAATTTTTTCCAAATAAACCGAGAACAAATAACAGGCCACCACTGCGCCAAAAAACTAAAAAGTTTATTTTTGGCTTATCAAAATGTTAGGGGACTAAATATTAAGCTACCCAAGATTTATACTGACTCCTCTGCATTTACTTAAGATATTTCGGCTTTTACGGAAACTTGTCTGAAACCAGAGATATCTGACTTTGAAGTTCTGTCAAACAACTTTAATGCCTATAGGACCGATCGCTCTTCACGTAGGGGGGCGGTGTGCTGATTGCCGTTACCTCTAGCCTAACATCTGAGAGAATTCACTCTGATATCCCTAACGAAATTGAATTTTTTAGTGTGAAAGTTTCCTTGCAATCCTTATCTATTTTTGTTATTATGTTCCTATATTCCATCTGCCTCTGATTTAATAATTTTTGAGCACCATCTGTCTGCGATAAAATCTGTTCTATCCCTTCTTTCTAACAGAGACCTTTTGATTGTTTTGGGTGACTTTAATCTCCCTGATATTTCTTTGTCTCGTCCTACTGATTCATTTGTCGCTATACCCTTATCCGTCAACGATTTTGTAGGTGGTCTTCGAGAATTATCGTTACAGCAAGTAAGCCTTATACGGAATTCATTAAATAGACAATTAGATCTTGTGTTTGTTTCAGACCCGTCTGAAGTCACGATATCTAGAATTGACGCTCTTGTTGTACCTGAAGACCGATATCATCCAATAACATCAGTATACAAAAAAATTGATGAAAAACGCCTTTCAGGAAACCTTTCTTTTCCGGTAAGATACATCTCACTGATTAAGAAAAGGGCACTTAAAATTTTTTCTATGGTACCAATTTTTTTTAAGTGTAAAAAACATTTTTCAAACTTTTTTAGTTTCTAACTCGAGTTGTGATAAACTGAATTCATTTTACAGGTAATAGAATGCCCTTTTACTTTCTTATACACATCATTAAGTTCCATTCATTAGTTCAAAAGCTACACTTCGTCAAAGTTGAAAAATTTGGAAAAAAATCAAAAACGCTGGCATAAATGGCTTCTTTAAAAATACACACGCACGTATATATATATTATATATTATTATTATTATATATTTAAACGTATATACACAAGTTCAGTATTCGGGAGCAGCGGCCGTTAAACGTTATTTTAAATTTTCAGTGTTGGGGAACGTAAGAATTTGGTTCAAGTTGTTATGCATAACGTCAGTTTCCTTGCTATTAGCGCTGGGCAAGCTAAAAAGTATGCGATTGCAGTTACGAGGAAATAATTTTCATATATTTTTAGCAAGGAAACTGAAAAAATTGGTACCATAGAAAAAATTTTAAGTGCCCTTTTCTTAATCAGGGAGATGTATCTTACCGGAAAACAAAGGTTTCCTGAAAGGCGTATTTCATCAATTTTCTTTTGTAAACTGGTGTAATGGAATTGACAATCTGCCTCCCATGCGTTGATACCCTCTCTCCTTTAGTTTCTCCAACTAAAATGAGATGTTTTCGAAAATGTGACTATAATAAACTTTACGATATGATTTCTCAATATAATTGGACATACTTTTACAATTGTATTGATATTGAAAGTGCCACTGAACTATTCTATATAGTGTTAAATACTTTTTTAATGAATGCGTCCCTGACAGGCTTCCTTCAAAGCTAAACAGGCCTCCTTAATTTACCAAACCGCTTCTGGGACTTACAAACCTTAAAACAAAAAAGTATAAACAAGCAGTTTTATAACTTTGTTAATGCCAAGCGTAAGTTATCGGCATTGCCTTCATCGGAACGTTTTAACTCAATGGAGGCATCGACGGATTCTGATATTGCTAATATATTTGCCGAGTTTTTCTAAACTACTTATAGTTCGGCTGCTTGGTCAAATTCTAACTACCCTAATCCCTTAAATAGGGCAAATTGTAGTTTTACCCCTGTAATTATGGAAAGTTCTCTCTTAAGAGACTTAGCCACAACAACGCCAACTTATTCTCCCGGTCCAGATGGACTCCGCGGGTGTGTGCTTAAGTTTTGTGCGTCAACCGTATGTAAACCGATTCTTAAACTTTTTAATTTGTCTACTTCATCATCAGTTTTTTCTACTATCTGGAAGGACTCTTTTATCTTTCCACTTCACAAAGAGGGTGCAAAGGCGGATGATCAGAATTATAAAGGTATTTCTAAATTGTCGGCAATTCCTAAAGCATTTGAACATATTATTACTTCTCATTTGCAACATTTATGTTCCTCACTAATATCATAGTGTCAGCATGATTTTGTTAAGCGAAGATCGACCACCACGAACCTTCTTGAATTGTCATCTATTGCAATAAATGGATTTAAGAAAAAAAATTCAGACTGACGTTATATATACAGGTTTTAGTAAGGCCTTTGACTTTGTCAACCACTCTCTTCTCTTATTCAAATTAAATCAGCTTGGGTTTCCATGTAATCTATTAACTTGGACTTCAAGTTATTTTATTGGTAGGACTCAGTGGGTTATAATCAAGAATGCTGCGTCAAAATTGATCTACGTCATTTGGGCCCTTTGCTGTTTACTTTGTTTATTAACGATCTTCCCTCTATCATAGCACATTCTCGTGTACTAATGTATGCTAATGATGTTAAGCTTTGTTCATCATATAATGATATAGCGTCGGGTTTCAACTTACAGTCAGATATTGATTGTTTTCAGGGATGGTGTGAGTACAACCTTTTAAGTTTGAACTACCTTAAATGCAACGTTATGACTTTATATAGGGGTACTCATACTTTTGTTAGTTACTCTCTTCAAAATACGCCACTCGACCGTATATATTCAGTTAATGATTTAGGTGTTCTTCTGGACCCAAAACTAAAATTTGACTGCCACATAATGTCCACTGTCAACAAAGCCATGAGTGTTCTTACGTTTAAAAAGCGTTGGTCAAAAGAATTTGATGACCTTTATACAAGCAAATTATTATTTACCTCCCTTGTCCGTCCTATTTTGGAATATTGTTCTTCGGTTTGGAGTCCGCAATATCAAGTGCATATTGACCGTATTGAGTCGGAACAACAAAAATTTCTTCTTTTTGCCCTTCGTAGTTTAAACTGGTATCAAAACGTAAGGCTACCTTCTTATCAGAGTAGATTACTATTGCTTAATTTAATTACACTTGTAAATCGTAGAACAATGATTGGTACTATTTTTATGCAAAATCTTATAAGAGGTGATATTGATTCTGTAGAACTTGTAAATCGCCGAACTTTCAATGTTCCGGTTAGACTAACACGAAATTATTATCCCCTAAAATGGCCACGATGTACATATCAAATTGTTGTCTGCACGAGTCCTTTCGCGTTCTATGTGATAATTATAACAACCTTTATCTTTAAATTTTCACTTCAACTTCTATCCCGGTATTAAAAACTTCATTCTTAGTTGCTTCTTTTATTTTCAATTGTGTCCCGTCTCTATTTTGTTTTTTGTATCTTCCTCGCGAACTCGCATTTTTTGCCCAAAATTATAAAAGGGCCCCGCGCGTAACAAGCACTTGCTTGGTGTCGTTGGGCCACTTGTTTGTAATGCTCGTAGTGCATCAACGTCCACCATAATAATAAAAATACTCAAACAAAAAAATCGACATATTATTTATTATTATTTATTTATTTATATATAAATGTTCCTTGTGAATGTCCATTGGTAGGCCTTATAAATGTTACAATTTAAAAGAAATTTTTGAAGTACAATGTGCTAGCGAAATGAATTCGTCTGAGTAGAGATTCGTGTTGGGGGTTGGGGTGACCTAGGCGATGCTTAAGGATGCACTCATGGTTGGAATGGTCCAGATGTTCCAAAATCCGTCGTAAAAATTGCAGTTGTCCAAATTTGAAATTCCGTCCAAATTAAAAATATAAGAAAACTAATGAAACGGAATCACGAAAAGTAAAAAAAATCAAACATAACGTAAAAAATAAACACTCACCAGGGTAAAGTGCCGATAGAAACCGACATCGGAAATCAGGTGTTTGGACCGTGGGCAGCCTAGGAAGGTCGAACCCATCGTAGCCACAGTGGGTAATATTCGGGAAGTTCCTTTCTGCTGAGCACAATTCTTAAAAAGAAAGTGAAGACCGAGTAAAAGTGGACCAATGACCGAGTAAATACGGGACATGCGAAGCCAGGCAAGAAGGCTCATCAGTATCTGAAATGAAAAGAAACCAAGGAAGAACTCTATAGTCGAGTACCTCTACTATCATATACCCGTTACTCAGCTAAAGGGACCAAAGGGAAATGGAGATATGCAAGCAGCAAAGCGAGACTAAAATGCGCCACCTACCGGCGGTAGACAGATTTAAGCGTTATGGGCGTTAGAGTGGGCGTTCCAAATTTTTTTGAATCAATCGATAGGTATTGACGAGACCAATACATTTCTGTTAAAATTTTTTATCTAGCATGAAAATTGTGGGCGTCACAGGTTTGGGCGGTTTGTGGGCGTTAAAGTGGGAGTGTCAAACTTTTTTTTGGGTTTATTCTAGCATCAAAACTGTAGGAGCCACAGTTTTGGGAGGTTTGTGGACGTTAGAGTGGGCGTGGCACTCTGCTAAAACAAACTTGCGCTGCGTAAGAAGCTCAGGAATCTGCACGCCAAATCTCAATAGCCTAGCTCTTATAGTTTCCGAGATCTCAGCGTTCATCCGGAGAGACGGACATGGTTAGATCGACTCGGATAGTGATCCTGATCAAGAATATATATACTTTATGGGGTCGGAAACGCTTCCTTCTGCCTGTTCCGACGAATCTAGTATACCCTTTTACTCTACGAGTAACGGGTATAACAATTATCTTTTTAATACGTTGTCTGTGCTAAAGTAAATTTGTAATAACTTACATAAATATTTTGTCTTTGCTTGAAGTTGGTGATGTCCATGTACACTGTGCACAAAGTGTGACACCGATGCCCAGCAAATTTCGAGTAGATACTGAAAGATAAAGAATAAATTAAATTAGTAAAATCGTTTAAATAATTATGAAAAGTTGACACGAACGGATTAGGAACTAAAGTAAAGGAGAGAAAAGTTAGTGAGTACTATAAATAGTTGAAGAAGGAGAAAAAAACAAATATAACTAAGAAAGGAATTAGGATATGTCAAATAGTGATAGGGATAGAATTCAAATCGGAAGAAAATTAAGGATAACTTTGAAGTTCATTCGGAGTAGGGGACCAGCAAGTATGACTCCGCCAATAACTTGGTCGGAAGCAAATCATGCGAGGAGAAATTGGAAAATATATCGGCACCCGAAGGCATGGAGTCGCTAAGGGAACAGATTCCTGATGGAATGAGAAGCGGTAGTCCAAGAGAAGCAAGTGGTCATCAGTCGGTGGGCGGAACCGGGGCCATACCAAAGTCTTTGCCATTTGGAAAAAAGTAAGGGGTTAATGCAGCACTGGTTCAAGCACAACAGACGTACCAGGTGGTAATGTCGACGGAATATGAAGCGTTCAACCAGCAGATGCAGCAGGATATGATGCAGTTCATGAAGGACATGGCTTCTGCATGACTGCTTGGCTTAGTGGCGCAGGGATTTTATAAAGGAAAACGCAGCATGGCAGGCATCTACGCATGTTCGTCAGGTTCAAGGACAACAAGTTTGACAGGGCCAAATAAGGCATGGAAGAGCAGCCGCGAGCAAATCCGAGTCAGATGCCACCATTCGATCCGAGGATGCTTCAGCAACCTCCGCCAATAATTCTGCCGGGGGTACGTCACCATATGGGATTCCCGCCGCCAACATCTGGGGCGTTGTCCGAGAAGCAGGAGATGAGTCGTCACGTATCGGAAGGGTATCGGCAAACCGCCTGGTCGACGGAGCAGGAACCAAGAAGATGGAATGGGTCTCACAAGACACCGCCAGAACCTTTTAAGAAACGGTGGGACACAGCTAAACTTGATTCCAGGACAAGATCAGCGTCGGTCAAGCGGGGCATCAGGCGGTTCAGCTTTTAAAGTCGGCCAACTGCGGAAGTGGGGCTAAGTTTCGATGGAAGTCCCTGAAGCATGCCCGTGTCCGAATTTATATTCCGCCTTGAACGACTCCAAAGGTCATATCAGGTGCCGTGGAAGGAGGTCCTAAGAGAATTTGCACGTATTAGTGGAAGAACAAGCCAAGGAATGGTACTGGATGTACGTGAGGTCGACGGAGAAGCAAGAGTGGACCTACCTGAGGTACGCACTACAGAAGCAGTTTCAGAGTCACCGATCCAACTTCGAGCAAGAAGCAGAAGCCAGGAGAAACCGTCGAGGTGTATATCTAGACCATGCTAGCTCTCAGATCTCGACTAGAGATGCCGTTTTCCGACTTCGTCCTGATAAAGTTAATAAAGATGAATATTAGGGATCAGATTTCGAGAATTATATACCCGATATACATCACAAATCACGAAGCTGAAAGAATATTGGCGACTCGATGGATCCGACATCCAAGCAACCTTGAAACTCACCGGGGATATAAGGATCGTCCGAGGATAGATGAGCTTTGTCCAGTCGGAGAAGAGAGTATACCTGAAGAACAAGAGGAAGTGGAGGCATTAGCTAGGCACTGGGAGAACAAGTGTGGACTACCTGGTATTACGACTCCAAGATGTACGCGATGCCAAATGGGAAACGGTGGGAGGAGCTTGGACAAGAAAGAGAAACCACGCTCCAATCCTTTTGCCACAAACAAATGAAAGCCTCGTCAAATTGCATGCCTAATTATAAGAATAGCTGTAAGGAGAATAAAATTAGTAATATTCTGATAAATCTAAATAAACCAGTAATTAACATTAAATGGTCGAAACGTGAACCTATAGCAGTCCGAGAAGCACACTACCAAGAGGTCATCCATCCATAACAGCAGCGGAACTTCGCCATACTTTGCCATGTTCGGACAACATATGTTTACGAATGGGAAAGATTACTCGCTGGCCCGCAAGTTGCATGCTCTGAATGATTTTGAGATAGCCCAATTGCCCAGATCTGAAGGACAAAAGCTATACAGGGAGAAAATAAAATAAAGGATACATCAGGCCTACGAGAAAGCAGCGAAGCGTTACAATTTAAAGGCCCGAGAGATTTGATACTCACCAAGACAAGAAATGTACAAGAGAAATTTTGTCCTAAGTGACTTCAGCAGAATACGAATTCCAAGTATTGCAGAAAGTACACTAAATGTCGAGTCACAAACCCGTTGGAAAATTCTTTGTACGCTTTGGAAAACTTGCGCGGCAATCCTTTGGGAGTTTTCCATGCAAAGGATCTTAAACAATAGTGCCCGGCTAGCGAACCACACTCACCAGGCGTTAATCTCAGGGTTGTGGGCGGTGGCCTACGTTGAGCAGTACAACCAGCAACACACGCACATCCTCCACTCCTGTTCCGAGACGAGCATCGAAGCCGTAGTGTGCTTGTTATTGGCTAAACTACAAAAGAGCACACAAATTACAAATTTGACAATGTTGTTTACGATAGGCCAGATAACGACAGGCATAAAACCGATAAGCGACTATCGACGACCCGTGAGTCCAGGGAGTCGGGCAGCTGAGTCCAATTATGAAACTGGTTCCTTAAACCGGGTAACTCCCAAATGAACCGAGGCTTAAATCCAAAAAATTTGAGTGGTTTTTGGCGAAGAGAGGCTTAGAAAATCTGAACAGGCAACGAGAACTAAAGGGCGAAAATGAGTGGTCACAGACGGATCTGTTGGCGAAAGTTAATATTAAATAAGTCAAGTTCCTGCCCAAATAATCCGGAGAGAATAGACTGGATCAGGAATACATGATTTGTATAAGGGCAGACGAAGACCAGCCACCAGGAGGAAAACGAACTTTCAGCAAGAAAATTGGCCACTCATCCCCGGGTGGATACAGGTTTTTATTCGACCGTAAATATATATTTACCAAAAAAAATTTAAAAGAAAGTTATTCCCAAAAACTGCGAGAGACAAGATATTAGCAAACTGAAAGTTATAAAAACGAGACTTATAAAATTATTTAATTAATTATTTAAATATAACCCGCCCAATTAGTGTGTGTTAATTTATATATATTTAAATCGTTATTTATTTAACTTATTTGTTTACGCATACAAACATACTGAAATATTATTATACCCGTTACTCGTAGAGTTAAAGGGTATACTAGATTCGTCGGAAAGTATGTAACAGGCAGAAGGAAGCGTTTCCGACCGCATAAAGTACATATATTCTTGATCAGGATCACTAGCCGAGTCGATCTAACCATGTCCGTCTCTCCGGATGAACGCTGAGATCTCGGAAACTATTGAGATTTGGCGTGCAGATTCCTGAGCTTCTTACGCAGCGCAAGTTTGTTTCAGCAGAGTGCCACGCCCACTTTAACGCCCACAAACCGCCCGAGCCTGTGACGCCCACAATTTTCATGCTAGATAAAAAATTTTAACTGAAATGTATTGGTCTCGTCAATACCTATCGATTGATTCAAAAAAATTTGGAACGCCCACTCTAACGGCCATTACGCTTAAATCTGTCTACTGCCGGTAGGTGGCGCATTTCAATCTCGCTTTGCTGCTTGCATTTCTCCATTTAGCTGAGTAACGGGTAGCTGATAGTCGAGGTACTTGACTATAGCGTTCTTCCTTGTTTTTTAATATAATCTTTTACTGTTGGGAATATAGTTTTTTTAATATTTCAGAATTTCACATTAAATTTAAAGAAACGGACGACTATATCATATAGTTGCTAAAGGAACGATAGGATGGAAATAAGGAAATAATTGTAGCTTTGTTATTTTTGTTCATATTCTCTTCTAGTCCGGTCCATATACTTGTATATTAATTCAGAATTACGATTTTAATTTGATAAAAAATCGGGCTACAATAGCTGCAGTATGAGGGATCGTAAAATTAATGTCAAAACAAGAAAAAAATCGATATTTTTCATTTTCAGCAAAGCATATTCGCTAGTAAATTGACATGTCCTGCTTTTCGCGCAGTGTAGTTGCCGGCTAGTCATCAAATTAAGTGAAAGTCCCAAGAAAACTGTAATTCGGCTCAAAGGTTGTGTACGGTAATGGATAAGGTAACCCCACAGCGACTTCGCAGCCGCTCTTTGTTTACTTGGATGTCTTGCTGATGATATCCAAGATTGTCGAAGAACACTGAATGTTGCTGATAGAAGTGGCAGAATGTTTAAGTAAAGCAAATTTGACGATCGGCCTACACAAATAAAAGTTTTGTTTTAAATACATGCGATTTCTGTGATACATTACTACGTTACAAAATTTACTTGGGCGGAGGAAGCAACTAAGGCATTTGAAACGCCGAAGAAAGCACTTACCTGTGCGCTGGTATTAGCTCATCCAGATTTTGAGAAACACTTCAGGATACAGTGTGACGCCAGCCATGTAGGAATTGGGGCAGTTTTGTACCAGCAAGACGTAGAAAGATCGGACCGACCAATAGCATTCTTTTCGGCGAAGCTGAGAGGAGCACAACTCAATTAAAGCGTAACGGAAAAAGTGTGCCTCACAGCAGTAAAAGCCGTGGAAAGAATCCGTCCTTATGTGGAATTGACGCCGCTTAATATCGTTACCGATCATGCAAGCCTGCAATGGCTTTTGACGCTCAACCATTTCAACGGGAGACAGGCCACCGCCGTTAGCATTACAGGCATTTAACTTCAACATAGAGCATCGGAAAGGGAAAGACAACATCGTGACAGGCATGCTATCCTGGCCGAATGAAGCCGCCGAAGTAGAGTTCTTTGACTTTGAAACAACGGAGTTTGAGAGTCCTGAATATCTGGGAAGAAAAGATAAGTTTCCGGACTTACGTGTGGAAGAAGGACATCTATTCAAGAAGACACACTTCAACAGAGAAGAAAGCGATGAGTTTGAATGGAAACTGTGGATTCCTGAAGCACTGACGACGACTCTAATCCAGCAAGCTCACGGCGGCGACATGGCAATGCACGGCGACATGGCAATGCACGGCGGTATGGCAAAGACCTTAGCGAGACTCCAGCATATGTCTTATTGGCCCAAAATGGTAGTTCAAGTCCGAGAATTTGTAGCAGCATGTGAAAACTGCGAGGAGAACAAACACACAACGCATATAAAACGACCAGTGATGGGGAGGGAAGTACGTACCTGGATTTCCTAGGAAAGTATCCGCGGTCTCGCCGAGGAAATACAATGTAATTTATCGCGTTGGATCACCTAACCAAGTTTGTGTGGTTAAAAGCGATGCCAAAGGCCACACAGACAACTGAAGACAGTTTATCTCCAAGGAATTTGAGAATATGCTGGAGGAACACGGGATTACGCACATGAAGACAGGGAGATACGCACCACAATCCAATGTTTCGGAGAGAGTAAATCAATCAGTGTTAGCAGCAATTCGAGTGAACATCCAGAACGACCACACGCGATGGGATGAACACTTAGCGGACATACAAGCGTCGCAGAGGTCATCGATCCATAAAAGCACCGGTACTTCTCCGTACTTTGCCATGTTCGGACAACATATGTTTAGAAATGCGAAAGATGACTCTCTGGCTCGCAAGTTGAATGCTCTTAATGAAGCCCAATTGCCCTGATCCGAACGACAACAGCTATACGGGGAGAAAATAAAAGAAAGGATACATCAGACCTACGAGAAAGCAGCGAAGCGTCACGATTTAAAGGCCCGAGGAATTCGATACTCACCGGGACAGAAAATCTACAAGAGAAACTTTGTTGTGAGAGACTTCAACAACAATAGTGTTTAGGGGAAGATAACTAATTTGCCATATATCGATATAATATTTAAAACGCACAATAGGTTTAAATTGCGAAAAGCCGTCTTTTATTTTTCAAGATCGGAGCTGCACTAAAGACAAAAACGTAAATGCAAAAGTCGGCAGCTATTCTGAGCAGCGCTCGGCTCACAAAGATAATAGATAAACGAGATAACGAGAGAGACACGAAATCTCTGGCATGTAAAAGCTTTAAGTACTGTGGGATTCTTTCGCATAATTCAATACTAACATATTTATGGCAAAACAAACAATGGCATTTACATTTAAGCAATTTAGCTTTGGTCCTGCTCACCCACCACCTCACCTAGATTTCCACTTGCTCCTCTCTTGCAACGAGGACAAATACTCTATGCTCCATTTCCTCCAGAAGTTTTTCTGCATCTGGATCAATTGTTGCCATCGATTGAGACGAGCAGCCTTGAGATGAGTTACGTCTGGCTCCGGAAACGAATTGAAGCTCGAACCTTTTAGAAAGTGCGCCGGTGTGAGCACTTCCAAATTATTCGGGTCTTCTGAAATTGGACAAAGTGGACGAGAATTAAGAATCGCAGATATTTCGTAGACAAGAGTTCGGAGTTCATCGAATGTCAAGATTGTGGGACCGACAACTCTGTAGAAATTAAATTTCGCTGCATTGACGGCCGCTTCCCATAGTCCGCCGAAGTGGGGTGAACGGGGAGGAATAAACTTACTGTCGATACCCTCGGAGAGACAAGTTGCAGTTATGTTCGACATACTGGGTTCACTCTTGAACAATTCCTTTAGTTCTGCAAGTTCATTTTTTGGTTGATAAGTAATGAACAATTTCCAAATGAGCGGTCTTAGTTGAGAAGCAGATGTAAATCTAAATATAGCATTTGTGCGGTTGCTTGTTTCGAGCCTCAGCTTTGCAAAAAAAATGGGTCCACAAAAGTCGATTCCTGTGGTGTGAAAAGATGAGCTGGACCGGACTCGATCAGCTGGCAGACTGCCCATAATGTGTTGAAAAATCTTTGGCTTAATCCAGAAACATCTAACACATTTGTTTAGGACACTGCCCACAAAATTTCTTCCTTCGATGGGCCAATATTTTGTCTTAACGATCCAAGCAATGCCTGACGGCCATCATGTAAGAACTTGAGGTGGAAAAAGACTATTATTGACATTGTAACCGGATGGCTTTTGGAAGGATAACGGGATGCCTGGCATCGTAGTCTAAATTCGAATTTGGTAGCCTTCCTCCAACTCTCAAAAGTTAATTTAAGCCTGGGATTTAAAGACAGCTGCTAGCTCCTTTTTGGTAGAGGCTTATTGGCGTGGAGTGCTGAATTCCCTTTATAAGAATACGCGAGCCATCAATTAAATCTTGTACGGTGAGAGGACCAACTCGTCAAGGACAATCCTTGTTCCGAAAAGAGATGAAACGATATATAAGAAAACACACGCTGAAGTTTTCCAAAGGAATTTTGGTACTTGCTGTTACTTGAAATATCCTTCGCAGCCGAGCTAATCAAGGTGACGTGTCTTTGTTCGGGTAGATCGCGAAGAAGTTCCACGCTTGCCGGCCAGACTGTCGAACCCAAAAAAAAACAGTTTTAAGTCCGTCGGAACGTGGTGCCATAACATTCCATCCGTTAGTACTGGATTTGCGCCATTCTGTTGGAAACGAAAATTTTGAAGCTTAATGGTGCTTCTCTTACACGAGACACAAGTCTCCAACTCTCCCGTGTGCAGTCGCTTTATTGAACGCTCTATAAAATAAACGATATTCCACGGAAAATAACAATTATAAAATGGAAGAAAGTCTATAACCGCCTAATATACCACCAGCCCTACCCGCGAACAACACAACATAGTGCTAATAAACAAAGTTGACTCTATAAATCAGAAAATAAATTCTTGCTGAACAACAAGTGCGGTTGTGCGTGCACCATCAGTGAGAGACAATCACTAACGCTTCGGCTGGACCTGAAGCTGATAGCTTTCGTTCTTAAGCGTATAAATCGTATCCTCTTAATTAAGATAGGTTTAAAACTAGTTTACTTTAAGAAATGTATAAGATACGCATTGAATATTGAGATTGCGCCCCTAATAATCATTGATAACAACAATGCAAGATGAGGAAGTTTGCTCCATAGCTAGTGCCATGATAAAAACTATAAGTAGTTATAAAATTGGTCTAAAAATTGTTCACTTAAATGCACAAAGTTTGCTAGAGAAGATTGATGAGTTTAGATTCCTTTTCACTCAGTCTAATGTCGATGTGATATCTGTGTCTGAGACGTGGTTTGTAAATGATCTATGTGATTCGTCTATTGTTTGTGAAGGCTTTAATGTTTATCGGTCATACAGGAGGTGTTGCTATATACGTGAATGTGAAGCCGAAATGTAAAGTGGTACTTAAACAGCCAAGTGACAGTACTATCGAATACATTCTATTAGAACTTCCCAATAAATCCCATGGAAGAACCCTTCTAGGTTGCATATATAGACCGAATCGGACAATTGACTACGGGTCATTACTTAATGTTGTTTCAGACATTTCGTTGGAGTACACTGACATCATATTGGCAGGTGATTTTAACAGCAACCTATTGTCAGAAAGCCATCTCGTAGATAACTTTAAATCCCTAGGTTTGTTTCCCGTAAACGAAACGATTCCCACGCACTATAGCAGCCACTGTGATACATTACTTGACTTATTTCTTATCAATGACCCTAGCAAAATCATACATTATGACCAGGTTTCTGTACCAGCCTTCTCCAGACATGACCTAATATTTTTAACATACGACTTGACCTTTGACAGCAAAATCAATTCTTTTACGTGTAGAGATTACAATAATATAAACTACAATATAATGAATTAAAAACGGAATTTTTGTGTTGTGACTGGTCATGTATTTACCATCTTCGTCATGTAGATTGTCAATTAGAGGTTTTAACCAACAATGTCCAGTATTTGTTCAACAAGTTTGTGCCCCTAAGGACCAAGGTGATTAAGCCAATGCAAAATCCATGGTTCAGTAGTGAAATTAAAAACCTAACCCGTCAGCGAGATGTAGCTTACCTCCGGTGGAAGCAATACAAAACTGATGAATTTCGAAAACAATACAAAGAGGCTAGGGTAAAAGTTAAAAAAAGATAAAATCAGCAAAAAAAGAGCATTATAACATACAATTTAATAACTGTGTTAACTCAAAAAACAGATGGAACAAACTAAAGCGGTTAGGTATTGGAAAGTGTAAGCAACAGACAGAGTCTGAGGTGGATGTCGAATTAATAAACAAAAACAAAAACAAGCAATCCGTACCTGAATACTCAACCCCTCTGTGATAATAGTTTTAGCTTTATATGTATAAACCAAAGTGATGTCCTAGCTAGTATTCTGCATGTCAAGTCTGATGCTGTTGGTCTCGATAATATGAGTCCAAAATTTGTTAATCTTTTGTTCCCCTTAATGTTGCCCCATGTTACATATATTTTTAACACGGCTTCATTTCCGTTAATATGGAAAAACGCCAAAATTTTCCCAATTCCTAAGCCAAACAATGACTATAGACCTATTTCAATATTACCTTTTCTATCAAAAGTCTTTGAAAACCTTATGTCCTCACAGATTCAACTATACTTAGCTAATAATTCTCTACTTGACGAAAAACAATCAGGATTCCGTAAGAAAAGGAGTTGTATTACTGCAATCACTAACATTGTAGAGGATATAAGACAAGAACTGGACAGTAGCTGCGTAACGTTTTTGACGCTCCTTGACCACAGCAAGACTTTTGATTCTGTGAATCATAACATTCTCTGTACCAAGCTTAGGAATATGTTTAATTTCTCAACTAATGCGACGAAGCTTATTAGGTCGTACTTAACGAATAGGTTTCAAGCAGTCGTCTTCTCTCCGGCACTTATCCAGGGGAGTGCCACAGGGATCTGTGCTAGGCCCTTTATTGTTTTTTATATATGTCAATGATCTCCCTAGTATCCTGTCTGAGTGTGAAGTACATTTATATGCTGATGATGTCCAAATATATGTTAGTAGACCCGTAACTGAAATACATGACTGTGTCCGTATAAGTAATAAAATGTTGTGGCTAATTGAAAAATGGGCAAAGGAAAATGGCTTGGGTATAAATCCTAAAAAATCGAAGTGCTTGGTAATTGGTAAAAAGCAACTTTCAACACTTTCACTCCAAAAATTATATATAAACCATACGCCGATAAGCTATGAAGTGAATGCAGTTAATCTAGGCATAACATTTAACAATACTGTATCATGGAGCAACCATATAGTCAAAGCGACAGGGCGTACATATGCTCTGCTGAGAAAATTTTCATTCTCCAAATCGTTCTTAACTGAGGAAGTTAGACTATTAATCGCCAAAGTTATCCTCCTGCCCACTCTCTTTTACGGCATAGAAATTTTTGGAAATTGTGATGCGCGGGATTTGCGTACATTAACTGTAGCTTTTAATTCAGTTGTCCGTTATGTGTTTAACTTAAGACGTTTTGACCATGACAAAATAGTGACGAGTGGAGAACCAAAATATCTTTTCAATAAACTTACCCCAGCCACATCTGTAAGAACCAAAAATTACATATGCCCTCGAATACAAACACTGTGTTCGAGAAGGCAATTTTAAATAAATGGTTTCCGGCTATGGAACAATCCACCGCACCAATACAAAACAATTAGGAGCGCAACTCAATTTTACAATAAAGTTAAAGATCTTTTAAAATACCAGTACACATAAGTATAAAAATTAAATGAAATGAAATAAAACAAAAAAAAAAAAACAAAACAAAAATAAAAATATATATATTTTAAAAACAATAATAATTGTAACTAAGAAACTACGAAAATTTGATGTTAGTCATTAATATTAATTAAGAGCGAGAGAAATTGTTTTAATAACTTAAAAATAATAATAATATAAAATATCAACTCAATGTGACTAGCGCGATAATTATAAGTGTGCACTTGTAGCGCTAGGATATAAAAATAAATAAATAAATAAAATACGATAGTTGAATCAGACCAACAGTGAAAGTCAAAGGCGAAGATGTGTTTTATAACGTAGATGAGTTCTGTCAGTAGTAATGCATCTGACAATTCCAACTTATCTATAGTTAGCGTCTTCAAAGGCGCTACCTTAGACTTTGAACATAGTAGATAAGACGTTACTGATCCGAACGCTTCTGCTCTCAAATAGATACAGGCTCCGTAAGCTGTAATGCTGGCATCAGAAAAGGCGTGCACTTGCACGGAAGCATTTGGCATCATGGAAAATCTGTGCAACTTGATATTCTGAACTGTGCGTAGCTGAGAGGCAAGCTCTATCCAAACTGAAGACATCGTTCCGGGTAATGGGTCATCCCAGCTTAGATTTTCCTTCCACAATGCCTGCAAGAATATTTTGGCTTTGACTAGTATCGGAGCTATAAGGCCAAGGGGGTCATAACATCTTGCGATTACCGATAAAACGCTTCTTTTGGATGGTGGACCATCTGGAAGCATTGGTAAGAAGTTGAATAAGAAATTGTCCGAACTTGGCTCCTAAATTAGTCCTAGAGTCTTGGCAATGTCGGTTCCGTCATGAAACTAAGAAACTTCTCCATTTGTTCTTCCGACACCCCCTCAAGAATTCTCGGCTCGTTGTAGCACCATTTGCGAATCGGAAAGGAGCCCCTGGAAAGCGAAGCTTTGACTTGCCTTCGAGTTTCCTGTACTTCTTCAATTGTATTTCCACCAGACATTAGATTGTCGATTTTAGCCCCAATGGGAAACGAAGATTCCTCATCATCAGCTAACTGGTGCATGGCGCGAATAGCCAGGAAAGTTCCAGGCTTTGTTCAATATGTGAAAGTCTCTAGCTTATAAACATCTATTTCCTCCTCAGGGCTATTCCTAAAGAGAACACACTGCAGATATTCATCTGGATGGGAGATTCGCACCCAGCGGTACATTTTGCATGTATCCCCGCAGAGTGAAAACCTGTATTGGAGAAAACGAATAAGTGTGTGGAAGATTTTTG